AAATTGCTTCATTTAAAGGCTGGGCATCATTGCTCTTGGTTCCAGATGGAGATGTTCAGGAAGCTGCCACACGGGTGCCTGAATCACCCCAAATTCACCCCTTTCCAGCCCAGCCGGACTGGAGCCAATAATGATTCATGGTGATTCACCTATCCTGCTGGGCCTGTTTGATGAGAGTGTGAAGTTTGTGGCATTGCTGTGAACTTCTTGGAATTTTTCTTTTGCTCAGAAACTTCCTCAAGTTCCTCTCAGATCTTTTGATTCTGTCATTTGAGTTGGGAGATGTAATCGATGCAGTGAGTCTGGGTTTGATCAAGGCTCCTGGTCGGGTCACTCACTTAAAGGCCAACTGGTTTCTGGTGAAAGACCAGACATGGTGACTCACAAAGACTCCGGTGATTGTTGAGAAAAGCTCAGAGTGTCGACTGGAGACAGAGGCACTATGGCCTGGAGTCAAGCTGTGGAGCAATCCTGGAATTATTGGCTATCTGTCTGATAAAGGTAAAGCCTCTGGGGACATTGGCCAATATCTTGGGAGATCCGGTGTAGCAAGCAGATATCTGGGCCAAGACTTTCACTTCTGTGTGCTGGTCATTTCAGCAAATCTCTATAAATGGTTATTAATGCAGATAAATAAAGAAAGCTAATATAAAGTTAGATTTTCAGATGATAGCTGATGGGTTTTGAGACAGCATTTTGGCCGATGCGTTCTACCTCTCCATACAGTCTGTTTACCTGTTGCTTAAAGGTGATGGTCGTGGACAATACTACTCAGACTAAAAAAAAAAAGAGACCACAACATTTCCGAGACAAAAAGCTTGTCCTGTTGCCTCAGATTCTGCCTACATATGCAGACATCTGTTTACAGAGATTAGGCCATGGAGTGTTGGTCATTGGTGAATGTTTGGTGTAGTTTGGCCATACACAGACACAGGAGCACTGAATAATGGGTTCACCACTTGCAAGCAGGTCTAGCAGGCATCAAACCAAACCCCTGTCTTTCCCTGTACAAAAGATCAGATTTAAGTATTCAGGTTTTTAAGGATGTAAGAGATCACAGGGTATAACATTTCCCCTCCTCAAAGAGGTTGACAGGAGGTGCACAGACGCCAACAGCAGGAAGGATGATAAGATCTGCTCAGAGCTGGTGTTGTTTTTTTCCCCTCTCTCCAGTTCAGATTCACTCTCCTGCTCTGTGGTTCATGCTCACTATTAGCTAAGGGTGAAAACAGGCGAACCCATTTGCACGAGTCGCTTCTTTTTACCTGTCAGTGAGAGAGTGAAACTTGGGAGATTAAAGCTATTCTTCCAAGATACTCTCTTCTGTGCGGGCACCATAACCCTGCATGACGTCACCAGTACACTGACAAATACATGATCCCTCGCTAGCTTCCCATCAGTGAACACTCTGTTCAGCCCCAGTGGTTCCCAACTGGTGGGGTGTGGTCCAAAAATGGGCTGCTGGTTGACTCAGACTGGACTGCAAGTGACTCACAACCTTATCAAGTTTGTAAAAAACACACTTTATTTTGAAGTACAGTGAATTTCCTGCACAGAGCTTTCATTTTGAAGTGCCATTCCCTGTTGTACAGTGAGTGACTAATGGAGAGAGCTTTGTTGGTTTCAGCATTAAATTTGTTTTTGTCCTCCTACTGATGATTAAGTAGCTGACTAAAATCTGAAAAACCTGAAAAACGTCTTATGCTGCTGTGGTTATGAAATCGTGTGTAACCATGCATGTGTACTTGTCCGCAGCAACACCTGGCCAAAGAACAGGGAACCAGCCTCCACGTTCCTCTTTTCTCTGCCTCCTCATTGTTCTAGAGTGTGAGCAAACACACGTGTTGACTCTTTCTGGATAGTTCCATACCCAAGTTCACAGAGGGCTGGCCACTAAGACGCATACACACACACACACACACTTCTTCTCTTTCTGCCTTTCCGGTAGTGTGACTAGGTGTTGAATCATCACATTCTCACATACTTCTCCAGCCTCCTGTTTTTCCTGGGCAGCTCGAGCCACAGCTGCCTTGCATGACTCTTGGCACATACCTTTTCCCAGGCCGTGGGATACACTGAGTGATACTGCTGTCAGCCATTAAACTCCTAATTTTCCCAGGCTTATGCGCCTTAACCTGATGAAGTCTTCAAGGAGCATGTTGACAGTATATCTGATCATCCACAGGGCAGGTAAATGCAGTGATTGATCAAAACCAAAACCTAAAAGATGGATGAGTAACTCAGCTCTGGTAATGATGGGTTTGAGAGCGATGTGATGACTGCTGGAACCACAAGTGCACTCAAATAACATCCCTTAAGGGGTTGCATGGTTTTTCGGTTAAGGATGTGTGTGTGTTTGTAGAAGCAAGAGGGCAGAAAGGGTTAACTGTTTCTGCTTTTTGATGCTCATTAGTAGCCAGAGGGTTATACACAGCAGGAGAAGAACATTTTGACTAATCAGACTGCTCCGCTAGAGAGTTGTTGCTTTATAGCTGCTAAGCTTTTGACACTGAGGGAGCATTTTAAGCTCTTCACTGGGATATAACATTCCTGTCATGCCTGTTCTTCACTTTTATTTTTTAATCCATTTCTCTGATGAGATTAAAGTGAATTCAAACCAGCTCGGGTTTTTTTCCCTCTTCCTCTCCGGCTTCCTAAAGCTCCAGTCAGCTCTTTGATAATGGAGTAAATAAAAGTGCGATGATGCAACATGCAGAAATGTTGCCAAGGAAACTGAAGCCAAGAGGAAATGAACTCTTATTGGAGCAACTTTACAACACACCCTGACTGACTGACTGACTGATGGGTAAACTGCATTATTCAGAGGATTTATTTTCTCTGCAATAATGTGATTATCTCCTCAGTGAGGCAACAGTCGGACTACCCCAACTGTCATTTTATAACATAATTAGAGCTGATTAACCGAGCTGGATTAGTCACCCATGTTTCCAAATACTCACATATTCTCTTGAATCTGCGAAAGCAAAACTGTGTTTCAAAAAAAAAAAAAAAAACTGTTTCATGGCTATTAATTTGAAAAATAAAAGTGCCTCTTCTCATGTTTCGAGTAGAAATACAGGTGCCATTTAGAGTTTCTCACCAAAATGCCTTGTATCTTTCATTGAGGTCTTACCAATGTCTCAAAAACTCATATCATACTCAACTTCACCACACCACAGACGGTATGAGTTGTAGCTGCTGCTGTGGGAGTGTGAGCTCTGTGCCGGAGACAGTTGTAACAGCCCGCATTGTCCATTGTCGGATGTTAGCAGCTAACGAGTGCCTAGCCGTAGCTAGCTTGCAGTCTTCTTCTTCCTTGCATTTGCTCACACATTACCATGTTTCTTTGCCCGTTATCACCACCAACTCTCAATAAGCAGAACAGTGTGAAACCAGAGGCAGGAATGTGTGTCACATCACATATAACAGGGACACTGATCCATAGTGATACAAGTGGTCAAGCTCTCCAGAGGGAACCTTTATGTATAAAACTTATGTTGATCTCCATCATTAAATTGCTGCAAGAAGAGACTTTTGCACTTCCTGTGTTATTTATTCAACCAACTGTTCAACTGTAACGCCACATACCTATAGAATCCATATACAGTCACGTCCATTACATCAATTTCCACCTGCCAAGGAAGAGTCAGCATTCATAAACACCTCCATGTGTGTCAGTACCTCAGCCAGCCAGCCAAGAAATAATCAGCTAAACTGCCGCTACATGAGGCTGAGCAATAAGCTCCACTTTTATAATGTGAGCAGTCAATGATCTCCTCTGGGTGGGGAACAGAGCTGCTTTGCCCTCCTTCAGCCTAACCAGTCCATCTTCTGGCCCTCCACTGCTGAGGGGTCATATGGCTGTTTTCTTGTTTTTTTGTTTTGAGGTCTTTTTAACAGCAGTGGTTACTGTGGTATCCGCATTTTCTGCAGCTTCGGGCTGACTGCTTGGTTATTTTCTGATCAAAAGTAATTTCGTTGTTCTCACCCCAAGCGCAGTGGAAATAACCAGCTGGTCACACAGGCTCCCTCAGGTCACCCACGGCGACATTCAGTCCTGACCGCCTCCCATCCCCCTCCCTCTCATGTCTTGCCCTGCTGAATATATTACTCATTTTCAACAGCGTCCTGCGACTTAGATTTGGGATCTTTTCGATGGCTGTACCGCTGACTGCAGTGATTTGATAAACACAGACTGGTCAAATATAACTAACAATGATATTAGTGAATTTTGGGTATAAACAAATCACCTAAATGAGACCTCACTTTTGACAAAACCAGAATTACCACCTCGTGGATGTACGCCCCCAGAAACCAGTCAGGTTGCAGTATACGGTCATGTCTGTCTGAACTCATACGTTTCCATGACAGTAGACAATACCTAAAATATGGATGTTGCTGCAAATAAGCTACAAACTCTAACACATGGATGCTTCACAAACGTGCAGCACAGAAGATCATGACAGTTTCAGTGACTCCCCTTCTGTTCCTGAGTTATGTTATATATACTTTGTGGATTTAAAATGTCAACACTTCTTCATTTTATCATCATTTTATCATATTAGTGTGAAGTTTTTGTCATAATTAGCAAATTAATTCTTGTCAAACATGTTTTCTGAGGTTACATTGACCTTGACCTCTGACCAACTTAATCTAATCAGTTCATGCTAGAGTCCGAGAGGATGTTTGTGCCAGATGTACAGAAATTCCCTCCAGGCGTTCTTGAGATACTGCCCTCACAAGAACAGAACGGACTGACAGACAACCCAAAAACAAATGCCTCCGGTAGTGGTTGTCGCTGGTGCGGAGGAGTGAAAAACTTAAATTATGTTGGATTTGATTACAGTAATTTATATCTGTCTGCCAATCAGCTGAGCATTTTGTTCAAGGGCTTCAACGTTGGTGGCTACTCTCTACCCAGATCCCCTCTTCCACGCACACACACACACACACACACACACACACACTCACTCACACACATGGTGTCTTTGATCACTAACCCTGAGAAGCAGTCTATTGAAGTCATCCCCAATGTGTCGGAGCTCTCGTCCGATTTCCTCCGCCTGCATGTCCCTGTTCCGTTGCCGCGTGCTAGAGGGGCCGACAGATTGTCCTGAAACAGAGAGGGGAAAAAAAACACTTTGCTAATATGATCAGACATGCACTTACTATATGTACTGTACCTTCCCAACACTTAACTCTACTAGTGTGCTGCAGCTTTAGCTCACACATTCTTCCAGTACAGTTTTGCAAAGATTAAAAGGTTTAAGCTCCTCCATTGACACAAAATGCATGTTGAACTAATGGTATTTCGACTATGCTTTATTTATGTGAGGCATGATGAAATGTAGTCTAACAGGAGTGTGGCTGTGTGGTTGGGGGTTGATGCATGGAACACCAAACAACACCAACACCAAAATAATTAAAATATAACAAGAGAGTGAGTGAATTAAAAGAACTGTATGCAGTGTCCACTCACGTAAAATAACTTTAACATCAAGTCGTCTTGGGCCACACAGCATCACCAGAACCTGCAGTTCAGACTATGGCCACTGAACCCAAATTACCACACAGCTTAACTAAGTTGTGGCTGATTCATCCTTTCATTTTGAATCTTATGACAAGCAGCAAAGACATGTGAGGGAAAAGCAAACACTAACACGTAACTCTTTAAAACAGTTACGTGAAAACCTGCACGTCATGTGCGTGTCCAGCTTTCCCGCCATCACATGAATGCAAAATAATGGTTACATAAAATTTTAAAAATAATAATAAAATAAGATAAAATGCATGATCACCAGCAAAAGCCCACCAGCAGTAATATTTTAAAAGGAAATTAAATAAAAACAGACAAAAGAAACAAAGAAATACAATAAGCAGAGTGTGATTCAGAGCAGAGACTCCTTTTGACCCAGTTGAGTTTATTTGATGTTATAAAAGATGCATGCTCACAGTGTTAAGCTAAAAACCACAGAAGAGATATAAATCAGATGACTCTGATGTAAGATTAATAAACAACAACAAAAGATATTTTCATGTTTACCATGACAAACTAGTTTGACAGACGGGTACGCACCATTAAATTTAAAGAATTTCTGTCCATGAAAAACAAGTCGCAACATTAAATGCATGTGTGTCTAAAACGGCATCATAACAAAGATGCAGAGAAAATCCCCTCTACCAGCTGACCGGGTGAGCGAATGGGCATGTGTGTGTATGCATGCGTGTGTTTTTGTGGTTAATCTGTTATATTTTCAGTCTGAACTACAGTAAGACTGTGAAAGGCCCTGACCTCTTACCAGTCTCCACTTATGACTCATGAATGCTGTTATGAAACCCAGACTTAATATTTCTCACATCCTCCAATATTTGTGAGACGGATACGACAAAGAGGCTGCGTTCTTATCAATCTCTCAGGATGCCAACTGCACTGACGACATCCACGACGCGTGTTTTACGATGGCAAATATAACTGAGAGAGTTCTTGATTTAACCAGAATATATAATGAATGACTTCTATTTAAGACAGTCAATTTGTGGAGCCTTTTAACTCAGGTTCTCTCTAAAGTTTGTATTTTAGATTATGGAAACCTCAGGCAAAATCTATCTTTGTGCAATCAGCCCAGAGGATGTGTTATAATTAAACTGTGTGAATATGAACCAATGTATCAAAGCCGACTCTTCCACTCTGGCTGCGACTGAAGAAACCTGACTTTAGGTGTGATCTTCCTGCTGCAGGAGGAGGGAGTGTTGTGATAGGATAGCTGTAATCAGGCTGTCAGGGAGCAACAACAACAAGATGATAAACTGATCCTCCTTAAGCCTTCTATCTCGCTCTCTAGCGCACAAACAGGCCAGTGTTCCTGATAACTGAAACTGAATACGATGTGATATGTGTGTGTGTGTGTGTGTGTGTGTGTTTATCTTCTATCTGTGCTATCTGATGGACGTAGCGGACTGAATGAGAGGCGAAAGGTTTCTGTCTGCATCTTACAAAGGACCTCCAGGCCTATTTTGACTGCTACACACACACACTGAGGCCTATTTTGATTATGTACTTAATGAATAGCACACACAGACACACACACACTGGTCTGTTTTGACTGGTGTCTTGTCTGTTCGGCTGCAGTGAGAGAAGAGAGAGAATAAAAGAGACACAAGGCAATCAATGGAGCTAATCACTGCTATTATAAAAAGCAGAGCCACAGGTACAGAAGTTATAATAAGGAAGTTTTACTTCCGGAGATAACTTCTTTACTTACAAAACACCATTATCCTTGTGAAAAATAAAACAAATGCAGATAGATATGGATGTGGTTGAAGCTGGGGTTTTTATTAGAAACATGCAATATTGTGACTTTTGCAACTGAAAAAAAAAAAAAACAATTCCTCATTTTGGAGAATCTGGGAAAAACAAATAAGTAGATTCTTATCAGGATGAGACAACGATGTCATTACATAGTGGATATATTTATCACCCACTGCATCAATACTGTTTGGGGATTTATTAACACTGTTGCTGTTTTTATGCCAAATCTCAGCCTGATGCCACAGTTTTGTTTGTAACCAAGCAACACGACAAGCAACTTTAGCCGACAGCTAAAAGCACGTGTGCCTTGTTCTGTTTTTGTATCTCAATAAACAGCAGACATAAAAACAGGATCAGGGCTGTGAGGAGTGGTGAATGTCCCACAAACACTTTGTTGGCTCCACCAATATGAGCTCAAACCTACTTCTGTCAATGCTTTCTCTTCAACTTCCAAATCTTTCACTGCTTCAACTTTAACTCACTACAGAGGAAGTGCACCAATTTTACACATGAAAGTCTGTTTACAAGTCTTAAGGTCCAGACACACCAAACCAACCTCAGAGAACTAGTGGCGACAAAGGCCCCCTGCTGTGTCCCCTGTTGTCGCCGCAACTTGCCCAAAAAGTTGCACATGAACACACCACAAAGACTACAGCCGGCAGCCAACCAGCACGTACGTTCTGTGCCTGTGTGAGAGGAAATAACTCTCGACAGCAGCATACGCCGGACGTCTGTAACTGTGATGAAAAAAAGGTAAACCGGAGGACCATCCCGACACTAGTTAGCCAGTTAGCACATGAACAACACAATCCAATGTTGAAAGAACAAAGCATATTCACCCTGTGCCAACAATACACAAACTATCATTAAACGTTCCTGCTGAACAGCTCAAGGGCTAAAGAAAAACAATCTGCCCTTATGTAACAAGTTTGTCTTTGGTCCCTCTGGACTGTAGCTCTTTGTTTACTTTCCTCACTTCCATTTCTGTACTCGTGTGCTGAGTTGAAGTGGCATTCAGAGTGATTTCATTCACCAATTAGCTCCACAGTCACAGATGTAGATTCAACAAGCTGAATCTGCCCCAACACAAAAAAAAAAAAAAAAAAAAAAAAAAAAAAAGCCAACAGGGGCCAACAAGGGTCAACGGTGCGGGACACACTGCACCGATTAGGGCAACAAACGCTCATCGACAGCCCATCATGACCAATGTGTGACAGGGCCTTTAGGGAGTACTAATGCATATGTAAAAAGGTTGTATAAAGCCTGATAAAAGTCTGATAAAATGCCTCAAGTGATGTCACTTGAGTCTGCATTGCAAAACAACAAGTTCTAAAAACAAAAAAGATCTGAGGGTGTGGAGTTAAAAAGAAGTGAGTTCCCCAGACCTCTGTAGCTTGCTCCTCATCTCTGCTCAAAGCTACATTAGCCGCTACTAGCATAACACACCTGAATCTGTTGGTGATCAAGTTGCATTGTGGGTAATGTAGGCACCAGGTTTTGACAAGGAAGACGAAGGATACATGTGTGTTTGCTGCACTGACTTTTGATTCTTTTTTTAAAGACTGCCCATTGTGAGTCTGGCAATGTTATAGCAGTGCAATGCCAAGTAGGTGCTTTTGATTGCTTCAGCTTAACAGTTTCCGATGCATTAATTTATTTGTGGCGACCCATCACAATATCAGTAGCCTCACTCAATGTTCTGCACATGGTTACATGTCATTATCAACACTGAAGGTTGCTGTGCCTCTGATGGGCAGAGAGGAACACAGACTGGCGCTGCTTCAGTGGTCGAGTGGAGCTGTGGCAGCAAATACAACTAAAGTGTAATAAACACCATGATCCAATACCATGAAGTTGCAAAAATCACCTGCTGTTAGTAAAAGTAGTAACTTGATGTAACATCAGTTGTATGAGTGTGAGAGCTGTAAGGAGAGGAAGAGGGAGTGAAACAAGCATGGACGCAGTGTAGTTCACATAGAGTAACATTGGGTTTCATGATTAAAGAAGGTCTTTGTATCATGGCACCCCCCAGAACCAATGCACGAGGCTACGTAGCACGTTGTATTTTGATGCTTAGGTCCCCTGAAAAATGGCGCTGAGTGAAGACCAATCGTCCTTCCTGCAAATCTGACTCAGCATGATTCCACGAAAACTGTGAATCGGAGGCAGCAGTCGAGCACCAGCAGGTTTAACAGAGCATGCTGAGACGCCTGAGTTAAACTCATTCACAAAGTGGGCGATGCCAAACACAGAACAAACAAGAAATACAATTGTCATTACACACTTTCATAAGGTGCCATTATGTGTTTGTTTGAGTCCAAGAGACCAAATGTTCTCACACCAGAAAGATGATCAGTTATTTGAGCTGCTTCAGACTTAGCAACTTGTTTCATGTAAAAAGAAAGTGAAATTGACCGTCTCCAACCAAATGTCTGTATATTGGACTTTTCTTTAGTACGAATAAGTTACTAATTTACTATGAGATTAGGCTTGTGTGTCGAATATGTAGTAGACATTACTCAACAGGAAGAGGAGTAATACTACAATGGAATGAAAACACAGGAATCCGCAGAAATGGGTTTGGCAGCACTGAGGGGTCATGTTAATGTGTTTTGGATCAGCATGTTTCAGCCTGAATTTTTCGGATTTCCCTCCGAGAGCCGGCGGAGCGAGGCGTGCTGGGTATTAGTCAATAAATCAGAATGTGAAACAAACATGAGACAGACTTACTCATGGGAGAGTTGCACATACTAGTAGTGGAAAAAAAACCTCATGAGTAAGATCTAGCAGGCGAAAAATGGGGAGTATAAAAACATCCTGAGTATGTTTTTGTTAATCTTTTTTTTTTCTTTTTACTATCATTGTTAACATTCAGCATCACCCGCCCAAACCCTCAAATCTTTGATAGAGGAAGCTTCAGGGAGTTTGTGCTGGGCTCATATCTGGTTTCATATTTCGCAGTACACCCACACAGCAGCAACAGCTAAATTTCATGGTGAAAACAGTCAGAGCAGCTTGTGTTGGATGATTCGGGCCAGTAGATTTCACACATAACAGGTACTTCTGAACATAGTATCAGGCTGTGCATTCATGTGACACAGGAATACAGTTTACCAGCTTCTTAAAACTACTGGATAGTGGATGATAAACATTAGTAGTTGGAAAATGATTTCAGGCATGATTAAAAGCATATTATTATTATTTGAAGCATGCTTTATTTTGGAGACTGGGTGTATTACTTTATCACCAGCAGAGCAAGAGTATAAACATGTGCATTGCAAAGATGGAAACTGTGAGTGTAACTGTTGTGACTCGCCGCTATATCTGTCACTCCATCACTTCTCAGAGGACTTTGTAATGAGAGATGTTGGCGGTTAATCATCGGTTATGTATGCAAAGTGCCTCTGCTCACCGTGTTGCTGGTGCGTCCCCGGTCCTCCGCCGTGCGCCTCCATGCGCTGTAGGGCGTGTTTCATCACCTGGCCGGCGGGACTCGGAGTCTGCGTAGCTTTGTCAGCAGTCCCCGGCCTCGGAGAGAGCGGGGAGCTCGGCAGCGAGTCTCCGTCGAACGAGAAATATCCACTGGAGGCGCGGCGAGAGTGGAAGAATATAGACCTCGCCTGAAACACGGATAGGCTGTCGATGGCTTTGGGTCTGCACCAGGACGGCGAGTCCGGCTCCCCTCCTCCGGCGGTGGAATCAGGTTGGCCAAAGCTGCGCTCGCCGCCGTCGTTTGAACGGGAGGTTTGCGCACAGGCTCCAGCGGCACCGACGGGTTGTGGATCTCCTCCGCTCCCCTGTGTTGGTGTTACTGTTGTCGTGCCATCGGAGTGGTTTGGTGGTCTGTTGGATGAACAGAGCGGCACCGTCAGTCTGGGCTTTCATCACTCTGCCCAAACAGCTTACTGCCTCGCGTCTCTGCTGCATGTGGGAGCAGCTGGATATGAAGCAGCGCACTGCTGCGTCAGGGCTCGCATTCATGTTTTTTTTCTTAAGAGCTTTCTGTAATTTCAATCACATTGTTTCAACGGGGACTCGCGGTGGATGGCGCACCGACATGGACTTAACAACAACAATCTGGCCAATATACCAGCTACATATTTCTCTTTTTATGAAACATCTCGCTCACGTGCCACTGCAGCTGATGACCACAGCAGGGTTTGGAATTATGTTGTTTGACTAGTTTATGTACGGTAAATGTGTTCCTGTTCAGGCGGTAGCTCGGGTTTGCTGCCCGAATTGTCCGCCCGGTGCGTCTCCATTGTTTGACAGAAGTTGCTGATTGCAGCAGATCTTTGTTTGACTTGTGGGGAAAATAATCAGGCATGAAGGAAGCGGCTGGAGTAACTTCAACTGCGTCACATATTAACAGCCAGAAAGAACTGCGTCTCAGCGGACCACAGTCCGCCTGGAAATTTATTTTTTTCCGCGTAAATCAATTTAAACAATATTTCAGTGTGATCGGATTTTTCTGCTTGGTATTTGCGAGGAATTTATTTAATCAAGGTGACATTAGTAGATATTATACTTTAAACCACTTTATTTGAAACACCGTTTTGCACTGAGAACAAGAAAATCTTACCACGTTGTCATTTTCTCTTGTACTCAACAAAACTCTGAGCGTGACATTCTAATAAAAGAGACTCATCAAAATATTTTGATGCAGCGCTTCCTGTTTGTCCAGACTAAACAACAGCTTCCTAAGCGCATGGATTCCCAGCGGTAATGACCTACTTATGTGCCAAAATGACCTGAAATTATAACCAACTGGTTTTTCTCCACACACTTTTACGCACCTTTCCTGTAAATAGCCATCCTTTTGCCTTTTACGCATTTTTACGCACGGAGAATTCGCGACAAAAGCCGCGCTTTAACAGTCTGTTCTCCAACAGTATGAGAATATTAACTTTCCCTGTGGGTTTCGGTGCCGATCCGAGCGCTACGAGATGAGATATTAAGCGTGTCAGGCGGCACGTAGAGAAATAGCACCAAAACTAAGCGGCGGTCACCGAAAAGGAAAAGCAGACTGAGGAAAGCGAAGGAAACCCGCAACACCGGTACTAGAAAAATAGCAAACAAGGCATTTGATCAGGTGTCATGATGTTAAATGTTTTACAAGATCCGTTCAGCGGCACGTCGGCACAGTGACTGTAACAAACATGAGGAGGTAGGCTGCAGTTTCTATGTCTCCGTGGGCGACGACACGCCGGCCTTTTCTCACCGGAAAAAAAATGACATTTCAGATTAAAGATGAGGTTTCACTTTACTATTTACTCAAATATATTAAAATTATTGAGCAGCTGATTGTCACGTGGACGGTGTGAGTCTCTGGGATTATTCTGTCTATATTTGTAGCTCTAATTCAAAAACCAGTGGTACATGCGCGCCTCCCACAGGGCTGTGCGCACATGTACAGAGTTGAGTAAATACATGGAAACAGAGTGGTAAAATGGTCATTTATAGTCCGATAATTGCCTATTATTACAAGTGTTAATAACAGAGGAGCTACGGGGGAACTAGTCTGATGGATCTTAAAGATCTCACGTGAATTCATCACCTGTCATCGAGTGATGAACCGGCTGAACTCGGTGACCTCGATCATAACAAAGCAAACTCTCATCTATGAACACAAATCAGCTCTTCCATTAGAAGGAAAACACATCGTCGCATAAGTCTTGACATTATTTAAAAACATGTTTAGTGCTTGTCTGAAAACTTCAGCAAATAAAATGCAAAATGTGCGACCTACACTGACACACAACTTGTCATTTTAACCCAATAGTCTTTTTTATAATCGGGTGAGATGCCGTTTACGCACGACTAATGGACTCTGGAGTTTCTAAAAGGAACTGAAGCCGGTGCGCTGCGTCGCCAAACATACCGGTCAGACGACCCCTGCAAAACACACCATCGTCCCTCTCGGTATAAAACAAGAAACATCCATTAAGTAGGAAAATGTCGCTTTAAACTCTGACTGGAGTTTGCAGGAATATTATTCGAAAAGAAAGCACAGTGAAGACAGTTCTGTTTTAAATCACCTTTTACGCATGACAAACACTCTTCACTAAGATTACATAGATATTTAACAATAGGAGAAAGCATTACAATGTAAAGTCAAAGCAATTATTAATTTCCTGTATTTTAAAACCACTGCCATTAAACATAGCGGCTGACATGCCGGTCAAGGGGAAACTTGATTTCTGTCAAGTAATTGCTTAAAGACAACAACAACAATAACGCACACACCTCTGCTCCCTCTCACCTGGACGGATGGTGCATGTCAGTGGCGGGACATCACCGCTGGCTCCGAAAATAACACGATGACAAGTTGGCTGTTAATATAAATATGTCTAAATAATATCAGTGCTAGTCCAAATATGATCCACAAGTCCAAAGTGGGCAACTCATTAACGTATGAAAGCAAAAGCCAAAAGTGAAATAAATCCCAATGTTTTTGCTGAACTCCCCGCGCGAGGAACGCGTGAATAATCCGCCTCGTCCGAGAGGAAACTGCAGCAGAGGTGGTAAACAAACTCCAGCCAGAACTGCGCTTTTGTCTACACTGAGAAGATTTCCTTCCTCTCTCCCTCCGTCTCTGACACTAGAGTAGGTACTGTCTGTGCTGGGACTGATATGAACGCTCCTCCTCCAAACTCCACCCATCCACTGGAGGGTGTGGTTTTTGTTTTGGTTCTTATTCTCCTTTCTCTGTCTCCCCCTGTCTCTCACATGAGCAAATACCCCCGTGTCTGCATCAAACACAAGTAGTGATAACAACTACAGAAAATAATGCAGCCTGTATCAGACTCATCCTGTCTCTCAGTATCTTGCCTCTCTACCTCTCCCTCTGTCTGCAGCTCTGTTTCAGTTACACCCTGATTCTGACAAGATCTTGAGCGTGCACTGCATGAACACTGGAAAAGTGACAGAATATTAAGAGAACGCTTCTCCAAGATGCCCTGAAGATACTTAATTAACTTGATTTAACCCTGACTGTCATGCTCAGAGGCTTTAATGATGTAAGGCAGGAAACAGGGCCACCTAGAGTCGTGGCTTGATAGCAAAGTAATATCCTGCCCATTATTTCCTCTGCAAAAAGCATTAAACCCTTAATTTCCTGCACTCTAGTGATTTGTTTTATGCACCACTGCTTTCCTTTTCTGCATCAGTTTGTGGTGTAAATGTCTTTCATTTTGTCAAAACTAGAATTACCGCTTCATGGGTGTATTCCTCTGTGAACTTGTCACATTGCCAAAAACAGGTCAAGGTCACAGTGACCTTGATCTTTAAACTTTGACCACCATAGTATAATCAGTTCATTCTTGATGTAACAGGGTCAATTATACAGCAGTAATGTGTGTGACAAAGTCAAATGTGCATTTGTAATATCAAGTTTTATAATTACACATGTGGAATATTTGATACTCAGTTTCTGTACCTCTACGTTTACCTCTGGGGGTACCCCACCTATAAAGAGGTGTCTCCCACCTTACCTCTCCCCTTTTGCTGTTGTGCTCCATGGGAGAGGTAAGTGACATTGCTCTCATAGTAATTTCTGTGTTTTAGCGCTGTTAAAGGGATAGTGCACCCAAAAACGAAAATTCAGCCATTATCTACTCACCCATATGCCGAGGGAGGCTCAGGTGAAGTTTTAGAGTCCTCAAATCCCTTGCGGAGATCCCAGGGGAGAGGGGGTAGCAATACAATGGAGGCTTGACGCGCCCCAGATTCAAACGTCCAAAAACACATAATTGAAACCACAAAATATCTCCATACTGCTCTTCCATAGTGATCCACGTGTCCTGAGGCGCCGACATAAGTTGTTTGGAAAAACGTCATTTGAACTCTGTTTTTAGCCTCATTGTAGCCTGTAGCTCTAACTGCCTCTCTGTACACCGCGCTCACGTGTGTGCTTGCGTGAGATCGTGAGACATGAACGCGGTGCCCATGTCTCACGGTCTCAACTTTTTTATGTCGGAGCCTCAGGACACTTGGATCACTACGGACAAGCAGTATGGAGATATTTTGTAGTTTCAATTATGTGTTTTTTGGACGTTTAAATCTGGGGCGCCGTAAGCCTCCATTAGGTGGAGATGTGTTGCTACCCACTCCCCCCTTGGATCTCCGCAAGTGATGTGAGGACTCTAAAACTTCACCTGAGCCTCCCTCGGCATATGGGTGAGTAGATAATGGCTGAATTTTCATTTTTGGGTGCACTATCCCTTTAAGCTGTGTATAAGTTCATTTTTCAGCCTAAACTTATTGTATACTATGCTAACGTATTCCTGTGTCACTTATTCTGTGTAGGGGCTCAAGTTTATATGGTCATAATTGATGGGGGATTTTGTTTTTACCTCTTGCTGTCAGAGCTGTCAGGAATAAACTGAGATCGCCTCCAAAGATATCCACGGTCTGGGGCTCTTCATATGAACACAACGCAGACAACACTAGAGTCCACTGGTTACATTGAGTCCAAGTAGATACCAAATTTAGACACATTCCCTCAAAGTGTTCTTGAGATACCATGTTTACAAGAATGCAACTGATGATGTCAAAATGACCTTGACATGTGACCACCATATTCTAATCAGTTCACTCTTGGGTCCAAGTAGATGGTTGCGCCAAGCTTGAAGAAATTGCCTCAAGGGGTTGTTGAGATAGCACATTCACGAGAACGATATATGTACCTTTATTAAGCAGGATAAGACCCTTGAGATGAACCATCTCGTTTAAAAGGGGCTCCTGAACATACAGACAACACGCAACATTACAGAAACAAACAAACAAAGCACAAAACAGGACAGCAAACAGAAAACAAAACCGACAAGCAAATACAACACTAACAATGGCTCTCACTGGGTTAATCAATGTCGAGCACCTCTCCCTCAGCAACAGGCAGGCAGATATGGCCGGATGTACAGACTTACGGATGGACGTAGGTACGAACGTAGGCACCTCTGGGCATGGCTATCACTGGTGCTGAGGCATAATAAAGGTTCTCTGCTGATTTCATGTTTTTACTGAGACCTATGAAAACTTGTATTATCTTTAATTCTCTGTTTTCAACATTAAACTTGTTCCTGAACGTGTACTCTCATATATTGCTGTTGATAATTTGTTGGTTTTTCTTTGCTTCTACATAGGCCTCTGGTGTCAGTTCATCTCTGTATATACCAACTTCTTGTATCAAAATTCATTTCAAAATAAAAGTGTCACAAAAAAGTATAACAAATGTTGACGAAATCATTTTTCTTCATATTTGTAATGACTCGTGGGTTTTTTTCCATTTCCTGTGAGGACAAAATGTTTTCGTGCACCCGCTTCCTGCACTAAAATGATACTTGGAAGATCAACAATATCCGGATTTCAAAATGACACGACAGCAAACAAAACTAACAAACTAATTTTCCCCTTACGCACAATCTAAGAAAGCTGAGTGCGCATTTGATATTTAGACATTTACAATTTGGTCGAAACTGACGCCTACTCTTGTACTATGACTGTTGGCACAAAAGTAGAACTCAATGTGTGCTACTTATGAATCAGCCGAAGAGCTCTGTTCATGTCTTACTTGTGTTTCTGAAGACAGACTCACATGTGCTTCTGAAAAAGTGAGGAAATAATATTTGTCAAGAGAAGGATGAGAAAGCGGCGCACTTCTTTCATGTTGCTAGCTTGCCAAAAGGGTGCGGGGTGATAAATGGGATCCACATCAGGATACATGCGCCCGCACAACATGACGATCAATTTGTCATCAGAAAAAATCAGCACTCCGTCAACGTCCAGTTAGTTTGCAATCATGAAAATAAAATAGCCAATGCTGTGGCACAACAGCCTGGCAGTACGCCTGACACTTGGATACTGGATGAGAGCGTCCTTCAAGTGAGTTTGAGGAGGGGAAGCTACTGGTACTGTAAAGTCTTGATGCTTGGTGTAAATAAACATCCCTAGACCAAACACCAAATCATCTCTCTGGTTCTACCTGCTCTTTAAGATTATAATATAATAAATGACTCTACATTTTCATGTTTTATCCAAGGTAAGTTGATGAAAATATACTCCACTTACAGATGTCATTACTGCATTCAAACAAGTCTCACATCTCGCAGATAGAGTTGGCTCTGTGATGCTGAGTGGGTGGGGTGGGGCGGAGAGTGGAGCAGTGATGGGTGTCTGGAAACAGCAGGAAGCTCCAATCTGCACAACTCCAACAGCTGCAGGGAAGAGCGAGAGAGGAATCAATACAGACAGACAAAAGAGTGAGACCATCAATAGTATTTACATGTGATCAATACCGATCAATTCCTCAGAGTGTGGGAAAATGCGTGTGAATGGCTGTAAATATCTGCCTTGGTTAATGTTGACTTTCTACTGTTTTCTGCGTATGTTTTGGTCTTTCACTTTCTGTACATCAGACAGTTTAGAGCTCTGTTTAGTGTGATGATGGTAGAGGTGGTGATTCTGAAGACAGTGCCAATGATGATAATGTTAAAGGGGTGATCACGCTGACCCATAAAGGAAATGGGTAGATACTGGTCTGATTTCTGTTGGATTTCTCCAGACCATGAGTGTGGTAGGTGGGGCATAAGTACAGGTTTTAATGAAGAGTCATATACCAGCAGGATGGAGCCCAAAATGCTTTGATTGCGACCTCCACCAAGGTAATATCAACCGTAAAATTAATATATGTGTGCTTGTAACTGGTCATAATGCATGTTAAGGAAAACTGAAATCTGAAGCTGAAAACACACGTCGCCGCTGCACCATGGCGCCTCAAGTGCCACCCCTAGCACACACCAGACACATTGCACTGCAGCTCATTAACAGACGACCACACAAAGTTAAACTACTTTCACTAAAAGATCTGGACCTCTTCCACCTCTGCATTAGCTTAAAATCATGTGTGGACACAATTAAACTTGATTCCTCACCTGAAGAGTTGATCTTCAGAGCTATGACTCGCCAGGCAATATCTTTTTGGCTGTGGTCTTTATAAGGAAGGGATTGTGAGTTGTTAAGCTTGGGATATTTCTCAACCTCATCGAGTCTCTCATCATCCAGTCTTTGTCACACACGAGAATGCAACAGCAACGGAGTTCTCTTCATCAGTTCATGGTGAGGAGAGGAGTTGAGCTGCCACAGGGGCAGAGAAGAAGAGCTGCTACAGAAAGATGCATTTAATTCAGGGGGCGGCGAGGCTGTAAATAGGACAGTGGTGTAAAGTGCTGCGTTCCTTGACCCGCTATCCCGCATCTAGCCGCTGCCAGTGTGGGGTTGTACACTGAAAATAATAGGGGTGTATTTTTTGACGTACGGCGTTCGCCGCTGTTTTTTGGTCTTAACCTGCTCAAAGCACCACACAAGCTGTTATTATGGCTGTAGTCTTGTTCTTGTGCTCTTTTTAATTGACACACCATGATAAAACATAACGTTTATGCTTGTACACCTGCGATGATTTGCAGTGAGAAAGGATAAACGAGTTAAGCACAGTTGATAAAGGAAAGGGTTCATATCAGGGTCATATGATTTCTGCATGGATAGCGTCTACTGTGGCCCTGTCTACATGTATACAAATTTTGTGTACGTAGATATTTTCCTCTACGTTTTGGCTCCTCGTCCACATGCAAACTGAGTTTTAGGTTACTGAATCTGAGA